TTACACGGAATTTCTATACAAATAATTACGACCAAAGAAAAAAAAAGTTTTTACCCCTATTTTATTTCCCACATCATTCGCTATGCCTGTGTATATAGCAGACGTTTTAGATTACAGTGAACGTAATCTATGTATAACTGGTAAATTATTAGGTCAAGGTTTTCGTTACCACAACTTACGTAAAATCTTTACTAAATCCTTTTAATTTCGAACTGTACCTGTAGAAAACGTATTAAATTAAAAACTAGATATTACATCCTAATCAGGTCTTTCCATTTTTTCTCGGAAAGACCTATTGGTTTTGTTCTGATTATTATTAGGTCTTTACACTTTTCGATGGAAAGACCTATTGTATTTGTTCTGATTATTATTTTTTTTTTAATTTTGTTACGCAAGATGTCGCTTAGATGTTTGATATATGATATCGAACAGTTTGCGCGCCTTTGAAATTCACCCTGCGTAACTGAAGACTTTTCTTTGTAGGAGTTATCTCCCCGAATACTGTTTTCCTTGTGACTGCATCTCCTCTGTAACCGTAAAAGAAAGCGACAAATCTATTTTATAAAATTGCTCGTTATATCCTTCGCATGATTTGTCCTATTTTGACCGAAGCGATATGAACACTCCATATGAGAGTTATTTCCCTTATGTGTTTGTTATTAGTGATATGCATTTCTGTCTTGTAAACCATAAGTGATAGAGACCTAGGATCTTTTAATTTGAGGTCCTTGGTCCAAAAATAAGAAAATAAGGTCAAGGTCAGAGGTCAAGGTCATATTTTAAATTTGATTTTGGCTTATTTTCACTTCTTTTCAAAAACCATATAAGATATCGACAAGACAAATTTAATAAATTGTAAGTTGCAACATGTCGTAACACATAAATTTTGGTTGAAATGGTACGCTAACATTAAATTGGAGTTTTCTCCTCTCTTATGTTAAAAATTAGGCGTAAAGTGATAAAACTCATTAACCATATAAAATTAAGACCTATGGTCTTTTTATTTGAAGCCCTCGGTTTATGACCTTGAAATTGAACTAAAGGTCATAGGTAAATTTGACGTTCTAGATTTTGACCTTTGCTTTTACCTCGTATGTATACATGATAAAGCCAAAGGACTTTTTGCATTACGTTGCAAGCCACTTGACCATGGAAAAGCCAACCGGAAGTGGCCTTGTGTAAACCGGAAGTAGCTATTCTTTGTACTTATTTAATGTAAAAGTATATTAAACCATATATTTTTGGAATCAGTATCATGTAAACTATAAAAAAAAAACCGGAAGTGACATTTTTCAAACCGGATGTAACAATGTATCTGCCTTATTTAGAAAAAAAATGTATAGAAACCATATATTTTTTAAACCGGCGTACAATAAGTTTTCATTTGACGCTGGATATGATATTTTAATAGTTCTATATCAAAATTGATCTTTATGGGTGGAAAGACCTTCAATTGTTCTCTGAACAATTGGTTTTTTATTTTTTTTTTTCTTCCGCCACATTTTTTTCTTGCGCTGAATTTTTGTTTCAAAAGATGTCGCTTAGTTTTTTTGTATATAATATCATACAGTCTATACGCTTTTGAAACTGACCCTGTTTAACCGAACACTCTTCTGTGTAAGAGTTATCTCCCCGAAAACTGTTTTTCTTGTTATGAGATCTCCTTCGCAACCGTAAAAGAAAGCGACAAATTTATTTTTCCAAAATGCACATTATTTCCTCAGGATGTTACGTTTTATTTTGACCGAAGCTATTGGAGACTCCATATGAGAGTTATTCCCCCTTATGCATTTGATTTAAGTGATATGCATTTCTAACTGGCAAACCATAAGTAACAGAGACCTAAGGTCTTTTGATTTGAGGTCCTTGATCCAAAAAATAGAAAATTAGGTCAAGGTCATATTCTAAATTTAGATTTTGGTTTAATTTCGCTTCTTTTCAAAAACCATATAAGATATCGACAACATATTTTTACTAAATTGTTAGTTGCGACATGTCGTAACACATACACTTTGGTTGAAAAGGTACGCTAACATTAATTGGAGTTTTCTCCCCTCTTAGATTTAAAATTACCCGTATGGTGATATAAATCATTTACCATATATAATAAAGACCTAGTGTCTTATGATTTTAAGTCCTTGATTTATGACCTTCAAATTGAGCTCAAGGTCATTGGTAAATTTGACGTTCTAGATTTTGACCTTTGCTTTTACTTCATATGTATACATGATAAAGCCATGGGACTTTATGCATTAGGTTGCAAGCCATATGACCTTGGAAAAGCCAACAGGAAGTGATCTTGTGTAAACCGGAAGTAGCTATATTTTGTACTTGTGTAATGTAAAAGTATATAGAACCATATATTTTTGGAAACAGTGTCAGGTAAATTATCAAATAGTGACATTTTTCAAACCGGAAGTAACAAATAATCTTCCTTATTTAAAACAAAATGTCTAGAAACCATATATTTTTTAAACCGGCGTACAATAAGCTATCATTTGACGCTGGAAATAATATTTTCAATCGAATTTTAATATTTTTGTATCAAAATAGATCTTTTCGGGTAGAAAGACCTTCAATTGTTCTCTGAACAATTGGTTTTTAATTTTAACAGTGATATTGTACATAAATTTCAGATACGATCCATGTAAACATTATGCTACTCTCGTGCATAAAAGTTATCAATTTAACACAGAATTAAGGTTGTTTACATGTAATAGTATTTTTGACGGTATTAACATATAAATATCGCAAGTTTGCAGATTTAACATTGTTGTGCTGATATTTAGAGTAATTATGAATATGATATGTGTTTTCAGCCGTGTATCACATTCACTGGTCATCCAATGGATGGATCTGTCGTAGAGTTGTCACTTGTTTAGACGTACTTATATAACATTGTTAGGTTGATTTTCTAGACACTTTGCGCAAACGCCTTATCCCCTCCTCTAACTATAGCTGATAAAAATCAGCTTTCGTTTCGGGAGGTGTTACCTTCTCGTAGGAATTAAAAACAAGGTCATCTAGCACAATACACGAAGTATTTTTTAGTGTACAGGAATGATCATCTACTCATCTATTCAATATAACTATATTATGCTTTTCTATCTATCTATCTATCTATCTATCTATCTATCTATCTATATATATATAAAACAAATGTCTAACAATAGCAACAATCAACATTCAATCTATTTAGGCGTGGATCAGCTTGTGAAAATAAACTGATACAGTTACTAAATTATAATTATATAAATGTCTAGGAATATAACTTAAACACGCTAATTGATACATTAAAAAAGTTGCATTAGAGTTTAAACAGATATACGCAATATTTCGCTAGACAAACTAGCTTCATCAGGCTTGTGCATCTATCCAGTTGAAATCGGATACATGACAAAAAATATTTTTGTAGCTTAAACTACACTCAGTTGGAATAAGAGTATCCGTTTGGGCTTGTATTATATATTTACACCCCTCTACCACGAAATTTGTTTTGCATGCACACGTATAAAAATTGCGGTTTTTATCTAACGCAATCATAGGTTTGAACGTTGTTTTCAATTTAGACTTATTTATATAATATATTAATATATTAAAACATAACTAAATATGTATTGTTATGCAGTAATGAAACTCCTGGTCCTACATTCTGTCGATACATATATTTTGATATTGCACAATCTCATGCCTTTTTCATACTGTTTATGACGTGTTTATAGTCGTCGAAACGCGCGTCTGATGTACTAAAATATAATAAAATACAATTGAGAATGGAAACAGGGAATGTGCCAAAGAGACAACGAGCCTGTCATCTTTGATAAGTTTTTACACTAAATTTGATGGATTGGGTCTGATTGAAATTTGAGTCTGGAAGTAGAGGGTTTATTTATTATTTAAAAATAGACTCATCATAGATACCAGGATTGAAATTTTGTATTTACGCCAGACGCGTTGAAATTTGGTTTGAACTAGCTTTCAGTAGCTGAGAGTACTATTAGATCAGTGTTTTGTATTTCATGTGTTTTTGTTGTTTGTTTTGTTCTTCATCGATCTGATCAGTCAAGCCCTATCTATTTGAATTTTACAGTTTATCTTTATGTTTTTTAATTTTGTGGGCTGTTACATCACTGTTCGGGATATAGAGAGAGGATTGAGCGCATACAAAATAGTTTAACCTCGCTACATTCTGTATGTACCTGTCTCCAGTCTGGAGCTTGTAACTCAATAGTTATCGTTGGTTGCTGTTTGTCATATTTGTTTTACGCTTATTATTAAAGCATAAATCAGGCCGTTGTTTTTCTCTTCAAATTGTTTCACATTTCATTATGCCGGAGACTTTTGTAGCTTACTACCCGGTATATGGTATGGGTTTTACTTATTGATGAATTCCTTACGGTGACCTATAGTTGTTTATATCCTCGCCCTTCGGTCTCGTCTTAATTGTTGTCTCATTGACAATCATACAACATCGTCTAAAAATCTCAATCAAAACTCGTCTTAATAAATCAGTATTCGTCAACCATGATGTAAGTATCGTTACTGTTTTCTTTAGACCCAGTTAAAGCTATCATCAGTTGAAAGAATTCACCTTATTTCTTGCTGTGCAGTGACAATCACTGGTAATTTAAAACAGTCGAGACATAGTAAGAACCAGCTGTCTTTAAACTTTATAATGCGAGGACCACGGTGTAAAATCGAAAAATCTGTTTCTCGAATTATTAAATGAAAATACCGAGCTCAATGTTTTGAATGGATATGTGCGGAAATTACACCAGAGAGCAAACTTTAATCAGCATGAGCATTAACAGAATTTATCAAATTGGTCAGGTCTAGTTTTAATGCATATAGAATGAGAGAACTTTTACTTTAGACTTTCTGAAAAATTCCCTAAAATCTGTGAGTAAAACAATACATTTAACCAAATTGTGTAAAAATTCAGGGGAGAAATGGTCAAGTGAATAATTCTACATAGAAAAAACAAACAATATAATGGACATTTTTTAATTTATAGGACAACAGACTCATTTTTTCCCCGATAACTTGACAAATACACACAAATATACATGTGGACTTAAGATATCAAACAAAGTTAGCTTTGCTAAAAACATTGCTTCTTAATGTATTTACTTTTATTGATGTACTGGCTACTAATTACATACGAAACCGTTCATCTGCATCAATAAATATGTTAAAATACATATGTTTAGATTCTTCTAATCTGTGCGCTTACAACCGTTAAGGAACTTGTTTTAAAATGTTGCCATTAGGCTTATGTGTCTTGCGGTTTTAACTTCTTCAGGAGTATAAAAAAAGTACGGATAAGCTACGTTTCTGATGCCAATTTGTATCTGCTTACATTAATGATATCTGTACTCAGTATGATATACATTGTGATTGAAACAACTCGTGTGTCCAGGTTTCGCTTACAATGATAGCACAATCCTCTGTATTTTAATCAGATTGTATGAGTAATACACTACCACACAATCTTATCAAACAGCATGGGATTTATTTTAAATAAATGAAAATTTCATATTAAATTAGATAAAATGGTCTTTCAATAATGCTGGATGTCACAGTCGTTTAAATTGTTTTTCAGTGATAAAACTTTCAAACAACACATTAATTGGACATGTAAAGAAAACTTGAACTCTTGCTATTCCAACGTTAACCCATTATTCTATTTCAGAATTGATTATGAGAAACTTTATACAAAAATTTACCATCTGCCAAATGGCTAGTGCTTCTGTACTTGTACATTTTTATTTTTTTAAATTTATACTTGTACATTTTAAAGTCCCTGCGGTATATTTCGCTTCTCTTTGACTTGCTATTTATACATCCGTGTGGGTTTCAAATTTTTTGAGTTTGGTGTTCTAAATTCCTTATGTAATTGCAACCTCTGCATGTTCAGGAGTGTGAAAAAATAAGAATAAGCTGCGTTTCAAGGTTAAATTGTCTTTGCTTACAGTAATGATTTATCTACTCTATATGATATAATCTTATCAAACAGAAATTAATTTCTTAAGAACTCCTTCTTTGCTAATCAATGTCTAATTGATATATTTAACGCCAGATGCTTCGAATACACATTTCAAAAACGACGTATAAACATGTTTATGATTATCATATCATTCAATGTTATGATTGTTTTTCGTTAGAAACATCAATTTGCACAGATGTAAACACTACTGTATCGTTCCTTCAATCTTGCAACTCGAATACCATTTACAGATATTATAAGTTAATATATATTTACAGATACAATATTTCTGATATTTATAGGTAAGAGAAACTTTCAGGGTCTTCTATTGTCATAATTCGTCCGAAGAATCTGTCAGCAAAACGATCTGATCGTTGCTTGCTGGTGTCTGAAAATGAAACAAACTTCAACTCAGTATTTTAGAAATTAAGTGATTGGTATAGAAAAAAAAAGAAAACTATTCCTTTTTTTGATGTTCAGTAGTTTTTCTGAAAATATCTTATAACAATTGACGAACAAGAAATAATTCAAAGGTGTAATAGGTGCCAGTTCTCTTTTTTCAATTAAACATGTTTGAAAAGACAAGAAGATATATAAACTGCAGTAACCTTTTCAAATAATATATTGTTACAACCATTATCTTGGTTTCAATAAACGGGCCTTTAAACAAATAACAAATTACATGCGTCTCTTGAAAAACAGAAACGGCCAACCCTTTCAATTACCCGAGTTGAACACCTAGTTTTCGGGGATTTCATGTTACTCAATCTGTAGTTTTCTGTTTAATGATATGCATATTTTGTATCTTTGATAATATTTACATTATGTTTTGTGAAATTTTTAAAGTTTGCCTGTTTACTTATGTGAATTTTATTACTTTTCTACTCTTTCTTTCATATACGAAGCGTAAGAGAGATAACTCTACTTTGACATAAAAAAAAATGATGAGCCATAATGAAAATTCATTTTCTACATAAGGAAATGCCTGTACCAAGTCAGGAATATGACAGTTGTTTTCCATTCGTTTGAGCTTTTGATTTTGCCATTTCATAAGGGACCTTGTTTTCCTTGGAGTTCGGTATTTTTTGTTATTTTACTTTTCCTGCTGTCGAGAATATATAAAACACTACTACAAAATTAAACAGAATGACATGTTTATGTATAAACAACCGGGAATTACGCTCGGGCTATTCAAACGATATTATACCAGTAATATGTGTATTTAGGACGACATTGAATCATTAAACTTTTGGAAAAGTTTCACTGGCTTAGAAGACATTTTATCCAACAAATAATGTTTACTCTTTTTCTGACAAACATGCAATGTTGAATAATAAGTCCATCAGCCAAATTTACTAAATAGAAGTAAATTCAAACCGTAATATTTGTCACAATTCATAACGTATAACTATCTGTCAACAAAAGCATTACAGATCTAGAATGGCAAAAAAAAACCGAATATTTGGGAAATTTATAAGTCAAATAGATTTAATTCATAAAGAAATTTTGAAAGTGTTTTTTTTTTACCTTGACAACACTCAAAATAATAATGTACGGCGCAGTTCACTATCTTTTTTTTTCTAAATTACACTTGGGTATAATTACCATGAAAAAATTTAAAAATATGTGTCTGTTTTCCAACATTTTGCTCTGGTATTTGAATGTTTATTTAAGTCATATGATACTTCAAACTTAACAAAACAGATGAATATGTTTTATATACTTGAATGGCTAAGTTTAAAAAAAAAGCACATGAACAAAGTTTTCCTTTTAAAAGTAGATCCTTTATTTTATCAAAATCTTTAGAATAGAGGCAAAAGATACCACAGGGACATTCAAACTCATAAGTCACAAAAAAATACCATAGACATTTTAGCCATATTATCTTACTAATTTTTCGCGTGCTCCATGATTTTGTGTTGATTGTTTTTCAAGGTCACGATTCTGTAAACTTCGGCAACAAAACCCGAAAGTAAATTAGCAGCCAAAGCTTTTGATAAACAATCAGCGGATGAAATATGTTTGTCGATAATACATTATAGATTCGAAAAATGTAAGAACAAAGTGCCCTTAGGACTTAGTTTAGTATAAATGCATGCATTGATTCAATACTTTCCTTATCATTATAAACACCAGAAACACGTTTCATATGACCTTAAACTAATGCCTATGCAAGTGTCTGCACATCAATAAAACAGCAAATTGAATATAATACTGTAAGAAAATCGATCGATTAGGAGTGAGTAAATATAAACAGCATTACTGAAGAATCCATCTATGTTTCCATCAGTACAATTATTCATATTTTGGATCCGCTTCAATCCTTCATATAACATTATTTTTTTTTTTCATATTTGTTTCCAGACATATTTGTTTTATTAGATATACATTTAATGCGATAAAGTATTTGTTTAGGTACGGCTTTCTAGTTATAAAGATAATGCATCCTTATCATTTCCTAATGTAAACTTTGCATTTACAGACAAGTGACGTGGAAAGCTTTTTTAATTGAATAAAGTACTTTTCAAATGGGTTTTCAGTTCACAAACAAAATTATCTGCTACATTTTGAAGTGTTTTAAAACCAAGTTTCTATAAAATAATGATTATTATTTTTATTTGAAGTCACTATCTGCATGAATGTGTTAGGCTACAGAATAATTAACTCAACACATTAAGTTCGTAATAAGACATTTTATGTTTCTCTTCGCTATCATTGTCGTGCTTAAAAATTAAACACTGCTCCCTTTAATACCAAATTGCTAGTCAAAATAAAGTAGAACATCAGGTTATTTGCAGATCACTGTTCAAGTAACGGTCAGTCAATGCATGAACTTTGAAACTAAGAAGAACAAATTAATCACTATGGATGGACGAGTAGTAGTTTGTTAATACTAGCTACAGTTACATTTTGGCATATTTTTTTTACCCATTACCAAATAAAATGAAATACTGAAATAAGTAAAAAATAATACACAGTAAGCAGAAGTCGTGTTTCTAAAAACAGGACTATTATGTATGAAAACGGAAGTTGTTAGTATTTATTCTCCTTTGTGAAAAAATGTTATATTTTTAAGGACAGAAATGATTAATATAAAAATAAGAAGATTTGTGTGGTATGATTGCCAATCACTCGTATAAACTCGCCCGACTCCGTTCCCCCACCTAAGAAGGAGAGTAGCGGATGCACCCGAGGTTTTACGACTGGATGGCCAATGAGACAACTATCCACCAAGACCAAATGTCGTAGATGTAATCAACTAAAGGTCACCGTACAGCCTTTAACAATAAGCAAACCCCATACCGTAAAGTAAGCTATAAAAGGAACTATCACGACAAAATATTACATGATTCAAACGAGAAACCTCAAGGTCTCATTAATGTACAAAACAAAAACCATAAACAAATTTGATAGACAGTAACCAACGACAAACCACTATATTACAGTCTTTTGACCTTGAACAGGCACATACAGAATAATACTGCATTTACATTATAATCTTTATTATATACCTGTTGAATCATTGTCGATCGTATATCTCTTATTTTGGCTTCATATTTCTGACAGTATCTGGCAGTATAGGTCATTCCGATGATACAAGCAGCTCCTACAATTCCTATTACTATCGGTATCAAAACACTAATAAGATACTTTTTATCCTATAAAAAAAACATATGTTTAAATGTAAACATAATTAAAAAGGCAAACAAAGCTACAACATATTAGACAACAAACAACACATGTCAATATCTCAACTCAAAGCATTATATTACGAAATCCAAGGTATGATTCCATGGTTGTTTTTTTAAGAAAGGAACAAAAAATAAACTGCTCATATGATGAAATAAAATTAAACAGGTTAATGTCTCTACATACTAAAAAAAGTGTAGCAAACTCTGCAATCCTGAATCTTTTTTTAATTGATCAATTACATTAAAAGTAAAACCATATTTGTATCTTAACAGGATTTCACCAAATTTCAGTACAGAATTCAAAATAACTACAAAAGTATAAAAAATGACTGTCCAAAGTGAAGAACCTCATTTGTGGTTGTTTTAGGTCATATCATTAAATTGTTTGTTATTTGGAGAAGATAGTGAAAATAGCATATCTTTAATCGTTTTTGTTTAATTTATTCATGACCTTTTATACTCTGGACGATTCAGTACTTCACATGTTGTTTATTGTTGAAGACTGTTTGTTGTCCTCTACAAGCCTTTTGTTTATTTGCGCCGTTGTGGTGCTGTCTAATTGACATACACTTGTATTCCACAACTAGAATTTATCAAATCTTTTCCTGAACAGTAATGTTTATCATTCTTTTTCGAAAAAAATGATATTGAAATTGAGAATGGAAACGGGGAATGTGTCAAAGAGACAACAACTCGACCAAAGAGCAAACAGCTCAAGGCCACCAATGGGTCTTCAACACAGCGAGAAAAATCCCGCACCCGGAGGCGGGCTTTAAGTGGCAATGTAAACTAGTTCGGAGAAAATGGACGTCTCATTAAACTTCGAAACATATAAATAAACCAAAAATTAAAAAAAACAACATACAAGACTGACAGAGATTCCAGACTTTGGACAGGCGCAAAAATGCGGCGGGATTAAACATGTTTCAACCCTCCCCCTATACCTCCAGCCAATGAAGAATAAACAAAAACACAACAATACGCACAGTAAAACTCAGTTTAAAAGAAGCCTGAATCTGATGTTTAAATAAGTAACAGAAGAAACTAAGCAAAATGACAATGATCAACATAAATTAACAAAAATAAAATTGAAAATGGAAAGACTACTAGCAGTTACTGACATGGCAGCTCCAGACCCAAATCAAACTGATTGAAAGATTATATCTTCATCATATGAAAATCAAGCACAATCCCTCCCGTTAGGGGTTTAGTATCATACCATCATGAAATATACGAGAAGAACATAACGTGTATCATGCCAACAACTGGTTTAAGAATAAATGTGTTCATTTCCGATGCAAAGGATCTCTTTTATCGTAAATTTTGGTATTAAGCTTCCCGTTAAAGATATAGATATCAAGATCAAGAACTTTTAGTAAAATTTTTTCCTTCCAGAGTTATATGGACTTTTTATCATATAAAAAGGGGGGAGGCAATTTTTCACATGCCATATTCACCTCGATTTTACTAAATTCTACGTAAACAAAAAGGCTCAACTGGAGTATACGGATATTTAGTTTCGGCTTTTAATATGTATTCCTACGCAAATAAAAACTCGTATTATAGTTATAAAAATAGTTAATTAATACGTCTCTTTTTATAATTATTATGGTTGACAAGTTGACAGGTTGACAAGTTGACAATTTGATGAATGGAAAATTATAATTGTAATGGTTGACAAGTCGACAGGTCGACAGGTTGACAATTTTAATTGTTAAAAAACTTGCGCCTTTTTTATATTTTTCGGTCAGCATTACTGTTAAATCAGTAACTGTACTTCTTTATAGTATAAAGATGTATCATTATGATATAGCAATCTATCAGAATAGCACAGTGAGGTGATAAGACAGTATGAAAAGGTGGCTCCATATTATATCTAGATGTCTTTGTATTATATAGTATACGACTTCATATTCGTAAGATAGTTATATGACAGAATAGTATAGTAAAATGACAAATCAATATGAAAAGGTGGCTCCATGTTATATCAAGATGTCTTCATTGTATAAAAGAATATCTTCATGACAAAGTAAAATGACAAAATAGTATGAACAGGTAACTCCATGTTATATCAAAACGTCTTTATAGTATATAAATTTATCTAAGTGATATAGCAAATTGACAGAGTAGTATAGTCAAATTTCGTAATGGTATAGAACATTTGCTTTATGTTATATCTCAACCCTTAATGATATGATTATCGTTATCATAAGGCAGCTATGGCGTTCCATACGTTAGGCTGTCAGTCCCTTATTACGTATCCACTCCTCGTGCTTGAATATTGTCATGACTCAAATGATATGATTATAGTAATACTTTTCAGTTTATAAATTATAACGATTTCCGATGTTCTGTTAAGGCACTGTTTTGTTTTTATGCTTCAGTTTTCTTATTTAATTGCACTTAAAAATCCTTTGTTTCCAATATGACGAGGATTAACAGACAAAAACGTGTTGTACTCTCTTGAGTCTATCATACATTGCAATTGTGTTATACTCTCTTGGGTCTGTATCATACATTGCAACGTATTGTACTCTCTTGAGTCTATCATACATTGCAATTGTGTTATACTCTCTTGGGTCTGTATCATACATTGCAACGTGTTGTACTCTCTTGGGTCTATCATACATTGCAATTGTGTTATACTCTCTTGGGTCTGTATCATACATTGCAATTGTGTTATACTCTCTTGGGTCTGTATCATACATTGCAACGTGTTGTACTCTCTTGAGTCTATCATACATTGCAATTGTGTTATACTCTCTTGGGTTTGTATCATACATTGCAACGTGTTGTACTCTCTTGAGTCTATCATACATTGCAATTGTGTTATACTCTCTTGGGTCTGTATCATACATTGCAATTGTGTTATACTCTCTTGGGTCTGTATCATACATTGCAACGTGTTGTACTCTCTTGAGTCTATCATACATTGCAATTGTGTTATACTCTCTTGGGTCTGTATCATACATTGCAACGTGTTGTACTCTCTTGAGTCTGTATCATACATTGCATAATAATCTATGACAGAATGTCAAACTGTAAATTTGTAATTAACATGTTTTTCAATAATCATTTACACGTATGTCGCATATTGGAAACAACGATTCAATCTTTGGTTGCCAGACAAACACTCACCTTCCATATAAGACTTCCAAATGGTCCATCCTCTATAGGTACTGAAATGACATATAAATATCAGCATTTGATTGAATAAATGGAAAAAAATTGTTTCAGTAGAAACTTAAATTTTAAGAGAATTGTTTTACTAAATGACGCTAAACAAAAAAAATCCACTTCACTTAATTTCGACTGAGTGTTTTCTTTTCTTAATTTGAACCGGTTGATATTAATATGCTAAATGTAAAACTATTTCTCGCTGTCAGTGACTGTGACGTATATATAAAAATAAGAAGAGGTGGTATGATTGCCAATAAAACAACACTTCGCCATAGACCAAATGACGTAGAAGTTAACAACCATAGGTCACTGTACAGTCTTCAACAATAAGCAAAACCCATATCGCATAGAAGGCTATACAGCAACAAACGACAACCACTGAATTACAGACTCCTGACTTGAGACAGACACATACAGAATTAAAGTGTCGGGGTTAAATATGTTTGCTGGCACTAAATCTCCCCCTAACCTGGGACAGTGGTGTAGCAGTACAACATAAAAACAAACTATACAAATCAGTTGAAAATGGATTAACTCATATAGCATGTATAGTTTACTGTGTTGTGAACTGTTGTTTGTGTTACTGTCTTTCGTCGTTTTTTTTCATTTGAAAATTGTATTGTCTGCAAAATTACTTTTTCTACTATTAAATCATTTAGTATAATATGAAAATGCATTTCGAAAAGTTCTGTATAAAAGAGACATACTGTGATAATTAATCAGCGACTCCAACATAGTATGTGATCTCATTAGGAACAACACACGGAAACATTAGCGACATGCTAACCAAGTCCATGTAATGTATGACATAATGGTTCATCTTTCAAAATTAATTAAGGAAAACCAAGATCACTTTTGAAAATTTTAAAAGGAAAAAAATAACTCAAAGAAATGAAATATGAATTCAAGATGTGATGAATGTCTTAGAGACACCATACAATGTCTTTGGATTCGCAAAATTCCCTATTGCCATTGGTATCACTCAAATTGAATTAAAAACTGATAACAAAATGGTTTTTCTATGGATTGTATCATTGTCTTTATATCAATTTCCGCCCTGTTGCCAACATATTACTTAGAGTCGTGATGGAATTATACTGTCAGTGAAATGAAGCAAACAAATCAATTTCCGACTTACAAGTTATCTTTCCAAACCAGAAGGTGTAATTTTCATTTGATGTAAAAGTTATCAGTTGAAGAGAAGTTTGTTTTAAAATCTCTAAAACTAATTACTGCGATGCTAAGATGATGAAATACATGCTGGATACGATAACAAATGTCAAATCTGCACAATACAACTACAAAAGTACAATCCTTAATTACAATCATTCGGCTTAACGATAAGAACTAATGTGATATGGTTCCTCCAGTGGATTGTCTTGATATGCAATAACACTCATATTTTCTGTCATGGATGACTACGATACCCTGATGATTGTAAAAACCGAATGCCATCAAACTGACGAGTAAACAACTGTTTCCCTTGTAAACCTTGCTATACTAACGTGGACAAGTAGACATAAGTGTTCACGATAACAGGTAATCGCTTAAATTCTAGAAAAAGAGGGAAGTTTGGTTGTTGCTACGTTGTTTAATGGTGATTTGAACCGAACCTTTTTAATATTATTTTAAAAGTAGATAATAGATGAATAATTTTCATGTCACATTTTTTAAATACATACCTTAAAAATGTATAATACAATTTTAATTATAGAGACTTTAAAAGATCAGGCATCGACACCAAATTCATTAACGGTGAAATAACATTAAGATATATTAAAGGCAGTGGCTATTCTTCCGGCTAGCCGAAAAAATAGCTAAAAATGTCTATTCTCCCGGCCATCCGGAAGAATAGCTATTCACTGATATCATGCTATATGTCCGGCTATACATGACAATGAATGAAGGATATGTTTTTGGTTAAGTTGTTGTAGCATCCAGTGGAAAGGGAATTGCAAAAAAAATCCCTAGAATTGGAACTCCATGCGGACGTCACTAATTATAATCTCAAGATAAAACGTTCTCGAATATGTTAATAAAAAAAAAAATTAAATAAAAACAGAATTACCATAGGAATAAACTCATCATGTACCAACTTCAACTTATTTTTCTACTGGTTGTTCTTTAGAACACGCCAATTTTACGTATACAAAAACTGCTTGGAAAGAGATTAAAAGAAGAATATAGCAATAATATCGACATGCAGCAAAGACACTTTTGAATTAAAGTCACTTGGCAAAAAATTGTGCACATACGTTTCCATTCACTTAAACAAATCAAAATGCAAATGAATTTACTTCATAATATACAGCATATTCTGACTGTTTTATTGCCTATAAGGGAATTAGGGCCAAAAATGCCTCTCCTCTTTTTATGTTCTACCTATGAATTTCCTGCAAGGTTAGGAGTCGTGCCATGCAGTGATTTATGGCTTCAATGGATATCTATGATTCCTAAAGAAAATTATGAATTAATCAATGCTTTTCTTCGTGTTTAATTCCAATGCAGTCGTCAATTGATTTTGCACCATTTTTTATTTAAAATGTTCGATGATTTTTAACACATAGAAAATAAGTAAAGGGAAGGCACGTGTAAACTGCCCTTAAAGTATTATTGTGTTTATAAAAGCAAAAGCATAATATTTTTTTATTGAGAAAATAAGTAAAACATAATAAAATAAAAAGGGGGTTTATACCCCGAGTCTGGTATACTATTCCAAGCCAAGTCATAACAGTGCATGTTCACAGATCTCCGTTGTAGTAGAACTTACAAAACATGCAGCCAAGTATATTTTATTTAGTCGTTTCCTGTGAATCGTTTTCATGCGTTTTGTCTCCATTGATACAGATAAAGGTAATGGGGGTAAATCAGCAATTTCAGTTTGATTTCACGCTTTATTCCTCTCAGTTTACGTGCACACGCTATTGATCTGTAGTCTGTCCTATAGAAATTTTTTAAAGGCAATCACATTCTCTCTAATTTTCTTTAGATCTTTAAATATAAAATACGATCTCCAATTCTCAAAACGTCCATTACATACGCGCGTTTGCAATCCGACGCCTCAACCCGGACACTTTCCGCGCCACATGATATTGTTGCTAATATTGAACATTTGCCCATGCACAAACGGATGGCCTGAACAATAGAGATTTTTACCTATCCTTCCGGCTAGCCGGAACAATAGACACTCCGTATATTAAAAGACAATTGCTTACAAAACACAAGAACCTGTAGCAGATTTAAAATCGTTTTAAGCACTCAACTCTATCACGTTTAATCGCGTTCATTGGAATACATTTACGTTTCACAGAAACGCGTTCAATAAAAATCAGTACAGACAAACATTCAGTTCCTATAAAATCTTTATACAAGACAACACATCGTCCTACACTCGATATCTGCGATTATTTTCAGGGGAGGATTTTATATAGTAACGTCATGGACAGTATTGGGATTAACGAAAAAAATGCTTTGTGAAGAAGCACACTGAATAGCGCAACAAATAAACCAAAGGTATCATTAAAATGCTGGACGTTTCAACGGACAACATATTTGTTGAGTTTGATGGGTTGATATTTCAGTAGAATATTAATTTTTCTAATGAGTACAAATTATGCACAACTACTGGCCGATTTGTTTTTGTACTCATTCATGCTGTAAAAGTTCTGTTGAAGATGAAATACATTTTTTAAATCAATGCCCATGCTTAACAACAGTAGGCAAACTATATTTTGATCAATTGAATAATAATAAGAATTTCAGTACACTTTCTGATGAAAACATATTAGTTTGGCTTTTAAGCAATGAAGACACACACATAATTTATATAATTCATAAATTTTTAAAACAAATGTCCAAAGAAAGAGATGCACTAATGAATAATTGTCCCCCTTTATTATTATTTTTATTATTTTATAATTTTTTTGTGTTCCAAGTGCAATCCATATAGCTTGTTTTTATTCACCAGTATATATACAAGTCTAAATTAAAAACAACGTTCAAACCTATGATTGCGTTGGATAAAAACCGCAATTTTTATACGTGTGCATGTAAAACAAATGTCTTGGAAGAGGGGTCTAAATACAGCACAAACAACATTTTCCAAAAGGCCAAAAAAGTGAAAAGTATATTTTAACAAATCGCATTTGACTAACAGGTCGAACAATTGATGCTCTTAAACCCTGCTGACTGCCATTGACGATTGCCAAATAAATTGATCACGAGATGTAACATGGATCTTAATTATTAATTTAATACCAAACAGAAAACAATAAACTTGCGAAGAAGATAGTATACCGCAAACATAAGGTGCAAAAATGTGTACACCATATCCGGATTTCGACAGATTGAGGTAAATTATATGGCCTTCCAAATACCGTTTCGATCCCTAACATCACTGAAGAGACATTAACTGTCGAAATCCGGATATGGTATACAAATTTTTGCACCTCATGTTTCCGGTATACTATCTTCTCCGCAAGTTTATTGTTTTCTGTTTGGTATTAAATTAATAATTAAGATCCATGTTACATCTCGTGATCAATTTATTTGGCAATCGTCAATGGCAGTCAGCAGGGTTTAAGAACATCAGTTGTTCGACCTGTTAGTCAAATGCGATTTGTTAAAATATACGTTTCACTTTTTTGGTCTTTTGGAAAATGTTATATTATATATATATATATATATATATATATATATATATATATATATATATATAATGCAGTTCTTTTTAAAAATAAATGTATATATATATATATATATATATATATATATATATATATATATATATATATATGGGTCTTCCATAAAGCTCAAAATATTGAAAAAATACAACTTGATTTTTGCAAAAATATTTTAGGTGTCAAACAGTGTACAAAAAATGTAAAGAAGAAGATGTGGTATGATTGCCAATGAGACAACTCTCCACAAGAGACCAAATGACACATAAAGTAACAACTATAGGTCACCGTACGGCCTTCAACATATATGGTTTATTTTA